GCATGTCTGTAGTCCCAGCTACTTGGGAGGCTGAGGCAGATGGATCCCTTGAGCTCAGGTGTTTGAGGTTGCTGTGAGCTAGGATGACACCACAGCACTCACTCTAGCCCGGGCAACAAAAGCGAGACTGTGTCTCAAAAAAAAAAAAATTATGCAGATGGTACAGAGTTTCTGTATACCCCACACCAAATTTCTCCTATTTCTTGGACAATAGTATTAGAAACCAAGTACTGGGCACTAGGTGGACTCATTGCTACTGGAATATTGTTGCTTTTAGGGCCTCTCAGCTGAAAGATTAAGGAAATACATGTGTGTATATTAACCTGTATCCTGTATATTCATAGATCTATAATGATATAATCTAATCCATAGATCTAATCTATAATCTATACTCATTTATATCTCTATTAAGCTAAGCATGAATTCATATTGTTATCTCCAAGTCTAATCGATTACCAGATGGATCATTCTAGCCTTTACCACGTGGATCATTCTAGCTGCCTCCTCTTGCTAATCTGTAATCTTTTCAAGATATGCATTTTTTAAGTCAAAAAAGGAGAATATAGATTGGTATGTATAACATGCTACCTTTTGTGCAAAGAGGGTGGAGAAGTAAGAATATATATTTATATATTTGTATTTGCATAGAGGAACTCTGGAAAGATGTATAAGAATCTACCAAGAGAATTGAAAATGATGCCATTGAATTGTACACTTGAAAATGGGTAAGATGGGAATCTTTTTTTAAGAGAGGGTCTTGCACTGTTGCCCAGTTTGGAGTACAGTGGTGTGATCCTAACTCACTATAGCCTTGAACTCCTGGGCTCAAGCGATCCTCCTGCCTCAGCTTCCTAAGTAGCTGGAACTACAAGCACTCACCACCATAACCAACTAATTTTAAAAAAAATTTTTAGAGAGAGTCTTGCTATGTTGCCCAGGCTGATCTCAAACTCCTGGCCTCAAGCAATCCTCCTTCCTACCTCAGCTTCCCAAAGTGCTCAGATTACAGGTGTGAGCCACTGCACCAGGCCTTAAGATGGCAAATTTTATGTTCCATGTATTTCACTACAATTTTTTAAAAACTGTTTTTAAAAAAGCTCATTAACTCATCCTGCTTTACCTTTTTTCCATTCAGCATGTCGTCAGGCTCTATAGCTGTTGCTCTGTGGTGTCTAGTCTATTGCTTGGTACTCTATAGTTTTTAAGCACAAGACTTCGCTTTCTCAGAGACCAGAGGACAAAGGTGTGAAGGCGGTCTGAGGGAGGGCAGATGTGGAGTTGAACCTGTTCCTCTCATATGGCCTTAGTCTTTGAGGTAAAATTGGAGGCTGTGGAGAAGGTTTCAGAGGAACCGGGGGCAGTGGCGGTAGAGAATGGCACTTAGTCGTCAGGAGATGAAATCTAGATTGTCATGTGGCCTCAGTCGAGGTTAACCCACATGCGCTGGGGAAGATGTGGGCAGCATGGTTTAGTGCCCTTCCCCAGCAAAACTCAGCGACCTGGTGCTGTGAGCAGAGGACAGGACAGAAAGAGCAGAGAGTGAGGGGCTGCCTGCCCGTGGTTACGGGTCCTTGGTAGACAGCAAGGACACAGTGGGAATGGCCTCCCACGGCATCCAGGCACGGGTAAGGGGGCAAGTGAAGTTGAACTGGGATGGAGTCAGAGGGGTAGAAGAATGGTGTGTCTCATTTCCCACGTTTTAGGTAATACTGTATTAATATATAGCCATTGCTAATATTTAATGCCGAGAAACACTCATTAATGTCAGACTATTTCTTGCTTATTTAACTTTATATCATAAGCATCATGTCATTTGTGTTTGTTTGTTTATTTATTTTAGAGATGGAATCTTGTGTGGAGGGCAGTGGCGTGATCACAGCTCACTGCAACCTTGAACTCCTGGGCTCAAGCGATCCTCCTCCCTCAGCCCCCCAAAGTGCTAGGGCTACAGGTGTGAGCCACCGTGCCCAGCCCGTTAGTTTGTGTTATTAGTTCAATGGCTTGATATTTTATCATGTGTGGTATCCAATGTGTTTACAACTGAGCACTTGTTTTTCTTTCCTTTTTTTTTTTTTTTACTATTATAGATAATATTGAAGTGGAAAAAAAAAACAGTGTGCGTAAGTGCTTCCCTTTCATTATCTCAGTTGTCCATATGGCACTCCTCTGAGATAGGTTGTCACCCCTAACTGACAGATGAGAAAAAGGAGACTGTTAAGAGAGCAAAGCAACTTGCCCAGGGACGCCCAGCTAGAGAATGTGTGCCTGGAGCCACTCTGCTAGGTGTGTTCCTGAGTCACTCCAGTTTCATTACTAATGTAGGTGATAGTCCTGATTGGGAGGTTTTCTGCTTCCTTCAGTCCTGGCTTGATGTGGGTGGCATCTTGCCCTAGGAAGGAGCAAGGGCTGAGTCAGCACCTTCCTGACCCCTCCCTGCCTGCCCCAGGGCCCTTCACTCCTCACCAAGAGCAGCTCTGCGGAGGACAGAGGACAGAAGAGGACGGAGGTCAGAAGACAGTGGCCACCAGCTCTCTGAGAGGGAAGATGAGCCCCCCCGGAGGCCAGTCTTTTAAGAGGCTCCTTCAGAGAGTGTGACCTGTTCTCTCAGGCCAGACTGGAGGTGGAGAAGGAGGGAGGGGTGCCAGGAAAGGAGAAGATTCCTGTGGGGGCGTGGCGTGGTGACAATGGAGGGAGAGGCAGCTTTATATCCAGGCTGATGGGTTTAGTCTTTGAAGTCAGGAGTGGGGGTGGGGGACGGGGTGGAGGCGGGGTGCCTAGACTCAATCTCTTCAATCACCAGATCAAGGAAGGTGGGACCACCAGTCCCCAGCTGAGCATAAGAGGGGCAAGTTCAGTACACACAGAAGGAAGCCAGTTACCCCAGGAAGCTGGATGTTACACACAGACAGGAAGGATTTAGACCTGTCCGGGATGACAGGTCTCTCATCGAAGGGAAGTTGGGGGTTGTCTCTGCCCTAGAGGCCGAAAAGCTCCCGTGTCCAGCCCCATTGTCCCTGCCAGAGACAGAGGGGAAGCCAGGGAGCGTTCTGGAAGGACAGGAGAAGTGCAGCTCAGGGGCTGCTCCAGGGGCCTGGGTCTTCTCACTGCTGTGGAGGCTGGGCAGGGTGGACACCCCAGAGACAAGAACTGGTGAACCAAGGACCCCTTCCTCCATCCCTCCTGTGAGGGCATGAGCCTGACTGCCTGCTGCTGCCATTGGATTTTTGACTTTTGAGACCCCTGCAGTGTCACCTTTGGGGCCTCAGTTTGAGGGAGGGGATGAGGAGGCTCAGGGCCCTGTGGGCACTGCCTTTGCCAGCCCCAGCTCAGCCCCCCAGATGCTGCTCGGTTCCTCCCAGGACTGCGGTGCACTTGGCACTCTGGCATTGCCCATAAACGCCACCAGGGGCCCCTGGTTGTTGTGACAGCCACACATTTCTAAGTGTTCCCTATCACCCTCACTGAGAGCTACCTGGTGCCCTTTGGTGCTGGGGAAGTGACTGCCACCCCCCTCAGTCTTTTCCTGGCACAGAGACACAGAGCCCTGGAAGCCAGTGACATGTGCTGTTTATTATACTGTCCATGGGGAGGGGGAGAAGAGCGAGGCTGTGACAGCAGGTCAGCAGGCAGGCGGGGGCAGGACAGAAAGCATGAGGGCATGAGGTGGGCTACAGGCCCCTTCCCTATTCATGGCCTCCCCAGCCAGGGGGCACTGGGGAAGCGAAACTTACACTTCAGTAAAATACACTCGGAGAGAGGGAGAGAAGGTGGGGAAAACCCAGCCGCCAGAAGCCTGGCTGGGGAAAAAGAGAAGCCCTTTGAGCGGGGAGGGTGGGCATGGAGGTCCCACTGCTGAGTAGACATGGCAGCTGGGGCCCAGGCACTGCCACGTGGGGCTCATTCCATTGGCAGAGACCTGAGACCCTCCTTGGCCAGAACCCTTGCTCCTGGTGGTGGGAGGGGCCCCGGCCTCGCCTCTACCCCCACATGGTGATCTCCAGCCACTGTGTAGAGAGGAAGCAGATCAGAGGATGGGAAGGGTGGGGTGGGGCCGGATGGTCAGGGACAGCGGAGATCCCTTCCCACCCCTCCCCACGTACCTCTTCCAGGTTCAAGCAAATATGGCCAGTATTCTTGGGGTCCTTGGTTAGAAAGAATGCTGTTTTAGGGAGGAGGCAGGGGAGCAGAGAGGGTAAGAGCTTAGTCAGTGGTCTGAAAGACCCATTCTCAACTAGGTAGGATGTCAGAAAAGGCCAAAGAAGCTGTTCCTTGTTGCTCCCCAGATAAATCCTCTAGCCCAGCGAGGAATTAATTACAACTCACATAGCCTTGCTGGGAGCCAGCCACAGCTCTGAGTGCTTTCCATGGACCAGTTGTTTAATCTGCACCTCAATCCTATGATTATCAGGATTGAGATTATTATCCATACTTTATAGAGGTGGGATGGAGGCACAGAGAGATAGTGACTTGCTCGAGTCGCAGCGCCAGCAAGTGGCGGAGCTGGGATTTGAACCCAGTCCATCTGTGCCCTGTAGCGGGGAGGACTTCTGGAGCAGCTCTTCAGGGTGGGTGTGTGGGAGAGGGCCCCGGCTTAGGCTGGGGAGTGGGCAGGTGCCTAACTCACTGAACATGGCCTTTAGCCTCAGGAAACAGCTGATGAAGCTGTCAAACTCTATGATCATGTTGTCATCTGCATACCTGGCCACCAGTACCTGCATTACCTTGTTGTTCACCTTGATGCCTGGGAGAGAGAGAAGTGCGGAGGGGAAAAGCCCAGGCCTCTGGTTGCTGCCACCCTCTTCCCTGCCCCAAAGCCCTCTCTTGAACCCTGGCCACCTGCTTTCTCAATAGCCAAGCGCATCTCATAAGAGTTCAAGGTGCCCGAGTGGTCCTGGTCACACTCTCGGAAGATGTCCTGAATAGACAGACAGACGTGGCAGGGCCGTGTGCGTGGCATGATGGTTGAAATAACGAAATACTTCAGTAGAGCTGGCTCACAACAGCTGCCCAAGACCCCACGGGCCCCCCACCCTGGCCCCTGGGGTTCCCAATAGTCCTATCATCAGGTGACGGAAGGGGTGATTCTGAGCACAGCAGGGGGCCTCTGGTACCCTGCCCAGGGCTCTCTGCCTGCATCCTTATGACTAGTTGATACCTGGGCTCTACCGGTTATTAAATATTTTGACTAGCTAATATACCGGCACCCCAACAGACCCTTTTCCTGTGTGTGTGTGCAGTTGGGGCTTCGGTTCTAGCTGTCCCCTTACTAGTCCCATCCCTCTCGAAGCCCTCCTCTTCTCTCCCCCGTAGACTGCCCCTGCAGTGCCCTTTACCGTCCATTTCTTGATTTTTTTCCACAGGACCTGGAACTCTGAAAGCCCCAGCTTGCCAGAGCCGTCTTTCTGGGGGAGTGGTCAAGGATAGCAGAGAAGGGAATGGAGAGAGTGTCCCGGGGAACGGGAAGCAGGAAGTCGGCATCTTGTGTAGCTTGAAGGTGGAGGAAGGCAGGGGCTCACCAAGGGAGCCCAAGACCTGGAGTTCCCATACAGTAGCAACCAGGAGAATTGGAATCTTCTGCCACCCCAGAGCCCACTCCCCATCAGGAAGAGGGCATGGCTGGCCAGGGGTGGCCACCTCTGGGTGGGCTGCGGGTCAGGGGACAGGGGTGAGAGGGCCCTGGGCAGGACCGCCCACTGGACAGGAAGATACATCCATGATGTTGACCATGCAGCGGCAAGCGTCCACACCAAAGCCCCGGCTCTTGAGGCTTTTGACTATGAGGAAGGGAAGGGGTAGAAGCAAGAGATGGAGTGAACGGGGTATTGTGGGGGACACAGGGGGTGGTCACGAGGGGCACAGCATGGGGGGGCTGTGGGTGGCGGGTGTGGAAGACTCACGTTTGGTGGCCATCTTGTTGAGCAGCTTCTGCAGCTGAAACATGCCTATCTCCAAGCCCTAGGAAGGGGGACCGTGAGCCCCGCTCTGGCCCCTTCAGCCCCACATCTGCCTCCTGTCAGCCCTCAGCCGTGGCCCGCTCACCTCTCCCGCCACTATCTCAAACAAGTGTACGAAGTCCGGGTCCAGGTCTTTCTCAGAGGCTTTCTCCTGGGGGGAAGGGAGTGGGGAGGGACCCAGAGTCCAGAAGATTCCTTCACACACCCTGATGCTTCCTTCCAAGCCCCAACCCCACAGCCTTCCCTCACCTCTTGGAGCTGCTCAGCGTAGTTGACTTCGTCCAGTTCCCTGGGCAAAAGCGATTCAAGGCTCAGGGTTACCAGGGGTCAGGGAGGTGGGGGTTTCAGGAAGGAGGTGGAGGTTTCAGCTTTGTGTATCTGAAGCAACATGGAACAAATCCTTGGAATCTGGGTTCTAGTTCTAGTTCTGGTTCTGCTGCTAACTGGGATCTCGCCTCCTTATGCCTCAGTTTCCCTGACTGTAAAATAGGGACAAAGTAGGGGAGGACCAGACGACAGCTCCCCGAGCTTGGCATCCTACAGCTCTTGGGCTGGGGCCCTTGGCGCAGTGAGGCGGGGCCCCTCACCAGGACTCGCTGTGCTTCTCTGTGAAGACGCGGAGCAGGAAGTCGGCATCTTGTGTAGCTTGAAGGTGGAGGAAGGCAGGGGCTCACCAAGGGAGCCCAAGACCTGGAGTTCCCATACAGTAGCAACC